ACCGCAAGCTATGTTCGCTGCATAGCTACCGTACACTCTACCTTCAAAATAAAACATTCGTATCCGATTGCATAGAAAACTGGATCAGCACTATATCGTAAACTTCATAAAAACGAAACAAAAGCAGACTACCGTAGTCTCTCAGTTTCAAATTTTTCCTGCCAAATGGCATATGATTTTCCAAAATAATTTACCTTAAAAGTTATCATCATGTGAAAGTGAAGAGAAATGCAATCGCGAAACGACTCAAGGTGGGTATTTTATGCCTAACCGTCTATCTCCTTCAGCTACTGCCTCATAGAGACAGAGAATAAGGATCAATTTGATGAGCTGAGGAGTGTAAAGAAGACAAAAAACAAGTGCGACTGTTGTTACTTTGAGCTGAAACCGCGTGATTTACCTCAACGTCCAATTCATTTCTTCTGGACCAAATTAATTTGCAACTTGACTCTGGCTACCACTGAACATGGCACTCATGCAACAAACCCTGAAGATAGGATTGTAGATCATTCACTGCAACTATCATACACTTAACCGAAGCAAAAACTTAAGAATGTCGCCAGGATACTTGGTGATCGCTTAAAATAAGAAGGATCCTCAGATGATGTGACGTCATCTAGGATTCTTCTTACCTCGTTTGCACTGGGCTAAATTACTATGCAGTGCCATTACTATTAAAGCTGGTTATTTATCAAACATCGAATAACCTTAACCTTCAACTGAGGAACAAGAACGTCACATGCAAATATCTGCTTTACTTTACCGCTGATCCTTCGAATCATGCGAGGGCAATTGGAGATGCTTTGAAAAAAGGAGAACCCTGGCGACGTGAATGCATAACCAGCACCGGTCGATAAACTTTTCAGTTGTACCAACCATTAGTATATTAAAACCATTATATTATTTATAACAGGATGAAATTAATTTATAGTATTAAACTTGTCCTAGTATGACGTTAACTATAACTTCAAAAACTATAGCGATCATGAAAAGCTTATAAGTGTCACCAATAAGGAACACTGTTATCGTGACTATATTGAACTAAATGACATCGCTGCAATCTTGGCTAAATATACTTTGTTCAACTCTAGTAGACGCGGTCCTGCGTCGTGTGCACTGCAGGAGCTTAAAAGCCATGGCCTGCATAAATGGTCCCCCTATGCGTCTAGAAGCAAGGGGCGGTGCAAATGAAGCGAGAAACGATTTTCTTCCTTTACACTGTACAATTTCGCCGTTTCAAAGCGATATCTATTTTTTATCCGGTATCTTTAGCGCGGTATATAAAAATCCCAAACAGGGTTATATCTTGTGATTTAATGAGTTCCTCGGTAAAGAGAAGATACATTGGTATGACTGAAATAGTTTCCGTTAGTTAACCCGATTAAAAGACATCAGACGACATTAACCATATGCAAAATAAAATTGAGTATGACTGACACGGAAGCGCAAGAGCTACTATAAGACTATGTGGTTGGTAAAGAAACTCTAACTCTGACATATTGCACTACTGTTGCTCCCTTTTAACACTATTAAACAGGCTTAACAGAAGAATCGTCCAAATTAATAGGTGATATACATACATATAGGCTTGTCAGAACATTTTATAGAAATAAAATTTCGAATTGGATTTGTCCAAAATACAAGACCCGGTAAACGGACTCGAGCTGTGAATGAAAAATAACGACGTAGCATTAAGTCACAGGAAAAATGCCCAGCTATACAGTCCAATGAAGAAAATGAGGATTTTGAGAACCTACTCGCCGTAGCCTACCATCCTGTCACTATGCATGAAGAAGGCAAACCTATATAATTCAACATTATCATGAAAAACTTACGAATCGTGCTGAACGACAAATTGCAGTAATCGGACGACAGTTAGCTAGTCTGCTTGTTGTCGGTTGTTTGATATTATCTTTTACATGTGGTGTTTCAGTAGCATTTGCTGGTCAACTAAAAAAGACTAAAAAAACTTACAAGAATGGTTATGATAACCTGTCGCATCAGCGGAGCAGGGTTTATCTGATCGCAACAACAATTATCTAAGCTGCCTGTCTCGTCTGGGGCAATTGTTGCTTACCGACTCTAATCACTCACTGCACATGAAGTTCATGAAGGCATCGTTCAAGCATCTGGGATTCCTGAGTGTTTACAAAGCTCTATCGAAGATAAATCTTATCATTCATCGTCAGGATTCTTCCGCTGGTTGTAAATCGAAAATGAAAAATGAAACATGATAGCGGCTATACATTTTGTGTACACAAATATTTCAGGGTACCAGGTACTTTCAGTAGCACGTAGTTTTTGTTCGCTGCTGTGATGAAACTATTCTGTACTGTAAATATATGAAGTTGACTGAATGACTGATTGGCTGAATTATAGTGAACCTAGACAAGAGGAACGTCAAGTGTAAACATCAGGCTACCTGAAGCTGACGATGTAACGAGCAAGTGTCAGTGTGACACAGTCAAAATCCATTTAAGTTACTTTACGGTGACCGAAAGATGATTAAACATGAGACTGCCAAAGAACAGGTGAAAACTTGTGGTAATAAAAAATCAATCAAATATTGATGTATATCTTTTTTATTCGATTTGTAACGTTTCTAATTTTAGTAACAAATAAAACTGAAAAGTCTTACGAATAAAAAATTCATGGAAAATGGATGTTTTCAAAGCGCACTGTTCTCATCTGCTACTAGTCACTGTGACAGACCGTTGTTTGCCAAGCGTTCACATGACGTAAAGACGAACTCCGGTCGGCTACTCGTACACCGGAGACATTTTTTATGTCTCACCTCTGGTTGGCTTCCTCTGCCTCAATCAAATGCGCTAGCACTATTTCTTTTTCACCTCTTTTAGATACGATAGAAAAAATCGACACCAGCCGTCTCTGCGACGCAATGCGTCAATGCAGCCGGTGGTTTTCTTTGGTTCACCGTACCAAGTATTGATTTCTGCAGCACAAATTCTTACATAGATAAAAGTCATCGCCTCATTCAAACTGCAAACGGAGGATCTAGCCAATGTTAAACTGTTGCGCTGGGGAGGGAGGAAAACAAAACTATGCACAGCGTACGGTGTCTGAATATAATGGACACTGGTCAAAGCCGTCGTGACTCAGAAGAAATTTCACACTGTTGGTATCACCCTGACAATCCCACGTCAAGGGGAGGGGGGGTCAAGGGTCACAGACAGATTTAGGTCAAGTGTCCCATAAACAAGTAGCCAGTGGTCATTGAAATATCGATCGATCACAGCGCAGAAGGACTCGAACAACGACGGCTAGCAACAGAGGTGAAAAAACTTCTGCGTAAACGCAGGTTGTTTTGTTCAATGGCGGCCCAGTCGATGTCGCCCGTCGGCTGACGGTATGCCTCGTTGTGTCGATCGATCGATTTTTTCCTCCGCGAACGCCGATGGCACCTTCATCGTTATGCGCCCGCTCGGCGCCCTGAGCGCCGATCTATGGTAGCCGGCGCGCAAGCCCAGGGTACAGACAATGACAAAAAACGAGTAAGAGATTAAGTAAAGAATAAAAGTTAGTTTTTGGTGGAAGTGGCGATGGCAGTGTGTGTGGGGGGGGGGCACATTGACGGGTGACATCTTTCGGATCTGAGTAAAAAAATGCAATCTGTCAAGCAAAAAAAAACTAATCAAAAGGTAAGAGTGGCGGAAGAGATCTTCGGGAGTTTCATTTCGCTGTTGGTTAGTGGCAAATTACCCAGCAAAAAAGTATGTACGCGTTGCTGCATGTTTTTCTACATTTCCATGTAGACGTTTTTTATATGTTTTTTGCTACAAACAGAAGCAACGTTGTCTTACCTCGATGATCTGTGGCGCCGTGATGCCGGTCAGACGTAGACGGCGCAGCAGTTCTACCTGTTCGACGGTAAACAAGTTCATAGTGTAGGACGGTGACAGCGCTGATCGGTAGCTGCTTGACCAATGGTGGACAATGGTCAGCAGTGATAAGACGACAGCAGTTGTAAAGAAGACTTTGTAAAGACAAGTGCTTGAGTGAACAGACAGATGGACTGGAACGAGGCCAAGAATGAAACGAGTTCAGTTCACTCTGAAGTCAAGTCAAAACGAGGCGACGACTGTGACAACGCGTCGAGGACGTCGTCAATGCTGGTTATAATAAAGCCAGTCATCATCATCGTCGTCGTCAGCGGCGGCGGCGGCGCGACGGCGACAGCGGCAGCGGCGGCGGTAGCAAAGGCAACAGCGGCGACGGCAGTGCAGACGATAATTATATACCGAGCCGGCCAAACCAAACCGAACACGTTATGTAGGCTAAGCCGCGGTG